CTTGTTAGTTTTCCCATTCTTGGGGTTTTTTTGGTGGTGAGGGTGATTTTTTTGTTTGTTTTTGTGTGTTTTTTTTTCAAGTCTCTCTAGACCTGGTTTGCAACACCTGTGTATTCTGTGATAATAGTACTTTCTTGTTTTCAGCTTCTGTGTTTATATAGTCCACTCAGTCCTCTAGCCTTAGCTATATTGCACTATTTTAGATGTGTTTAGTGCTCATATTGTGCACGCTTATCTTTAAACTGTTCTTGATAAATATAAATTGTGTATTTGCATTTGTTGTACGTAATTAGCCATGTTGACTGACCTTCAGGCCATTACTGTGGTATAACTCGTAAGTAATGGTATCCTTGCTTTAGAAGAGTAATGCAGCTCTATAAAACAGGCTCATCAGATCAGCAGAATTGCGCTTTGGACCTGGTAACGGCTGCTGATAGAAATGCCTGTATGTGGATTTCCTACCCTGTGCATCTGCAAACAGGGATGGATCACATCAAGTCAACCACGAGTACCCTGAAACACCCTGCCTGTGTGCACCAGGGCAGAAAGCAACAGGCAGGGGCCAAGTGTGTTGGCAAGTTGATGAGTTATTGTCAAACTGTGGGACATGAGCCCATGCATCTCCTCACTACGACTAGCTGAGCTTTTAGGATGGCAGGGAAGAAATGGAAGTATCAACATAAAGTCATCTGGGGGGCCCCATGGGAAGGCAAAAGATGCTAAGGAACGTTAGATGTTCTCTACTTTGCAGAAAAGATTTGAAATAATCCCACTGTCTGCTTGCAGAAGGCAGAATCTTCTCCCATTTGAGCACAAGTAGAAGGACAGCACTAAGCTCTTTTACTGTTAGATGCAAATCTATATCCTCCTAGCTGTGACTGCAAAAGGACTGCCTGAAGAGGAGTTAGAGTATTGCTTGTATTCGCTGATAGCACTTGTTCAAAAGGAGTTCAAGAAGCGTATATTTTTCCTGCATGATTGTTTCATAGCAAGATGGTATAAAGCACTTGCTTGTTTTGACAAATATATTGGGTGATATTGATATTGTTTTAATTATGTAAAGTACTTTTCATTCTTAAATGGATCTACTGTTTGTGCTTCTGATGTTGTATGCTGGTCAGTTTTTTGTTTGTTTTGCTTTTTGTTTAGCTTTATTAAGACATTTTTACTCTTGAAATAGCTTTAAAACTACAAATGGCAACTTAGATTAAAAGCATCTTGTGAAGCTTCCCCAGTTGCAAGACTAATAAATGAACTTTTAAGTCTTAAACTACTTAATCTGGATCAAAACATTTTTCATATCATGTATCACAGAGTTCAGGTGTGCCTGTGATCACCCTTGAGTAATCTCTTTGTCCAGAGAATAAAGTATCTATTTAGGAACATTTAGGACTTCTGAGACAGGACTGTTTCACATTTCACCTGTTTAAATGAACAGTAATTTTTCTGAGCTTTCTATTAAGTAAATGACTCTTCTGCCTTCATATTTTATTGTGCCATATACTTGCCTCCACTCTTCTTTCATCTCTTTCTTTTTAGTGCTTATTTGTATGCCTGTTTATTTACTTATTTCATTTTCCCGTCTTGGTTACTTTCTTTCCTATGTCATCCCCTTGCCTGAATGCTCCCCTTTTTCCATAACAAGGAGGTTTCTGAACTAGTGAGGACTTGAACTAAGATGACTCCTGAGAACATCCCAGTTAAACTTCCCCATGTAAATCTACATTTCAGTCTTAAAACTTCCATACTTTTATACTGGAATCACAAGACAGATGTTAGAAAGCCTTAAGATAATTTAAAGTCTGTGCAAGTTCATTAAAAGATGATTTTTAGATCATCATCAACCTCAGATACTGTTTAAACCAATATTCTATGCCATTATGCTGAGCTTGCCTGCTGCCTGGCAAAGGCAGAATCGAGGTCCATGGGGGTGATTTGCTTGTTCTGCACGTGTGACCTAATGGCTGCTTGCTGGCAGGATATGTCTCGTTTTGGGGGTGTGACAGGAGATCTGAAAGCATAGAGACAAATGAAAACAAAAATGTAATGATGTTTTTTGCTCAGGTAATTTCTACTAGTCTTGTGTATGTTTTATTTTACATGAATTCAGATTACAGAGACTAGGAAATAGGAGATAACCATCTAAGTTATTACAAATATTCCTCTGCAAATTACTGAGTAAAACTGTCTGATAGATGTAAACAAATCTTAAGAGAGTGTTTCTGATATTCCTGCATCTCATCAAAATGTTCAAAAACTCAGGAAATTTCTCTCTGGTAGAGCTGTTTGCACAACAGCCTGCAGAGGTGATGTGAAAGGCCTTTTAAAACCAGGCTTTGCCCTTGCTGTTCATGTCACTTGATAAACATGCCTTTTTTTTTTTTTTTTTTTTAAGATGACATAAATCAGCATCTCTTGTGTCTCGATTGCCTCGAGTGATTGGATCACTTGAGAATCTGGAGTGAAATTCTTATTTCATCTAAAAGCTTATTTTGCATGTTCTATACATTTACAGTAAACGATTTTAAAATCACTTTAAGGCAATTCTCCGTACATGGCCTAGGATATGGCTTGTTGGGACAGAAATCTAGCCCTGCTACAGGGGTTGCAAGCCAAGTAAAATATGGGGTTGCCTGTAGCCCATATCCGTGTTGCACACTGGCTAGCAAAGACTGAGATTATTTCAGTTCTATTTGGGTATTTTTACACTTCTCACATTTGAAAGACAAGAATCAAATTGTACTCAGCATTTAAAATATACCAATCTATGCTGCTTTCTTTTCCTGTAACATTATAAATTACTGTAATATTATGAGATTACTTGTAATCTGAGATCTTTGTAGAGCTAGAAGTAAGTATCTGACTGGCAACCATGTAATTTCCCCCTTGCCGTAAGACACGGACAATCTTAGATAGCAATCCTTGGACATGTTACACGAACAGTGCTGCATCCTGCCAATACTGGCCTTAACACCAGTTGTTTCCTCTCCTTTCAGACAAGTACAGACACAAGCGAGAAAAAGGAGGAAAGATTTCTTTGACAAGTTGCTTAAAATGGAAGTTTTGAAGGTGCTGAAAAGTGTTGAGTGGCAGAAATAGAAAAGAACCCGTGGTCAGAGAACAAGCAATAGTGTCAAATGTGCCCAGCAAAGCAGGAGAACATATGCAAGAAGTGTGGTATGGTTTTATACCGTGTCAATATCTAACAATGACACTCCTGTCACACAGGCATGTTTGCATGCAGAGAAGCCTTGGCTGGTGGTAGGGATGTGTTACTGGGGTGATCCATTTAGTGTGGTGGTGCATTTACAGATAGAGGGAAAAAAAAGTCTGCAGATGATCCCAAACATGGCTTGATAGAACCTTTTTTTTTTTTAGGTAAAAAAAGCCACATATGCAGCATTGTGTCTCTACATAGTGGCTTTGTTTAATAGATGTGCTCCCTTTCTTTTTCCTGGAGGAGCCAGAGTGAAGCAGGCTTTGTTAAATGTGTCAGAGGGCAAGCTTGACCCCAGAACCAATTTCCCTGATTGTTAGGACATACACCAGAACTGGAGAAAAAATATTCCTGCTATTTTGACATAGTTGGTAATGTTTGGGTGTGCTATTCCCATTTCCTATGGAAATGTTGTATTTATTTTAGCCCTAATATTATGCTAATAGCTGAATTAAGAGTGTCCTGCTAGTCCAGCACTGAGTGGTGCCAGTGTCAGCCTTTGGTTCGTGTTTGTATCAGGTTCGTATTTGGATCTGGTGATTTAAACACTTCAGTGAAGTGATAGTAATAGCAGAACTTCAGAAACAGCTCAGAGTTGGCGAGTCTGATGTAGTCCCAAATTAGCACTTGCAGGTGAATTTTCTAGCCCTTGATTAAGTGTTTTACCTTGAGACCTTCTGTTCTATCATATGATTGCAGAGGGGGGAAAAAAAAAAGTGTGTATTACACATCTAAGGTGAAATGATTCATTGCACAGAGTATCCACCATCTTCCTTCCTTCCAGGGCTCTGTGTCAGGAGCTTTGGCAGGGAGGCAGCCTGGCCGGGTGAGCGCAGCAACCTGCACTGGCGAGTGGGGAGAGCAGCTCCCTGGCATCGCTCATGGGGCAGGAAGCTTCCCCGGGCTGCCACTTGTAACGAAATTCCTAAGGATTATTTTCTTAGGTTGTGTGTTTTTTTTTTTTTTTTTTTTTTTGGGGGGGGGGCGAGCGGGAGGGAGGGTAATACGTTTATGAAAAATCTTATTAGAAAGCATTTTATCTGTTGTGAAAAGTGGATTTTCTCCTTTTGCTATATGGTCCAGTTGTTATAAATAGAAGAGGAAAAAAAAAAGTGAAAATGCCTTAGTGATTTTTTCCACCCCTCCCCATCTCCCGCAAAAAGAAAAAGCGCCGGGGGAAGAGGAGGGGACCTGGCCCTACCGCGGGTGGCGGGGGTCGCTCCGGCCGGGCCCCCGCGGGCTTCCCCGAGCGGGA